GATTTCCTCTCTTTCACCAAAAGCCGGTCAACAAAATCCATAGCTTCAAGGCTAATATCTTTGAATGCTTCTTCGTCAAATGTGTATTCAGCATTCATGATGTTCTCAATCATCTGTTGGTTAGTTTCTGCCAAAAATGGGTTGGTCCCACTCAGCAGCACATATACCAATGTACCAAGTGACCACATATCTGTAGCTGTGCTGACAACGTCATGTTGGTGGACTTCAGGTGCATAGTATTCAGGGGCAGTGAACAGAAGCCTGAAGTTGTCCCCTGGCTTCAGCTGACGTGCTTGACCAAATTCTATTATTTTAATAGTGGAACTCTTTCTTGTCTGGTAAATGATATTTTCTGGTCTAATGTCAAAGTGTCCAATATTCTGACTGTGTAAGAACTCCAGTGCTTCACACACTTGGCGAACATAGCTTACAATTTCTCTTTCATTGAGCTCAAAAGCACTTGTATTAATGCGTTCAAATATATCGAGTCCTGATATAAACTCAAAGATCATAACTAATTCCTCCAGGCTTTCAAATGATTCATGGAGGTATAAGATATTTCTGTGCCTGGCAATGTTTAGAATGGAAATCTCCTTCTTGACCAAAACCTGATCCGTCCCTTTGACTTTAACAAATTTGGCCATAAATGTCTTCTTTGAGGATGTTTCAACGCAGCGGTGGACAATTCCAAACTCACCACGCCCAAGATCTTCAGCGATCATGTATTTCTCATAGAGTTCCTTGGTTTTCGAGTGTGATGCTTTAGTCATGGAGACTTCCCTGGTTTCGTCCACCTCCTCATCGTAATTCATAGCTCTGGACTTATCTTCTTTGGTAATGGTTGGTTCTGAGGGCTCTGAAGGCTTGCTTAGGCCAAACTTATTTTCAGCTATTACCCGGAACTGGTAACTTGTTTTTCCAAATAAGTTGATCACAGTGTAGCGTGTTTCTCTGGCCTGTCCCACGCGGAGCCATCTTTCTGCAGTAGTTGCACATTTTTCAACGATGTAATTGGTGATTTTGCTGCCACCATCAGAAGCTGGCTCTGTCCAAGTTAAGTTGACAGAATCTCGTGAGACATCACTAACTTTGACTCCTCTGGGTGGGTCAGGAACATCAGCCACATCCAGTTCTACTGTCTTCTGATCGATTCCAAATCTGTTTTTAGCACAGACAACATAGAAACCACCATCTTTTCTCTCTACTCCATTGGGGAAGACAAGTGACGTGAAAGATCTTGTGACAATTACTTGGTAGTGGCCGTTATTGTCAATTAGATCTTGTCCTTTCTGCCAAGTGATCACAGGATCTGGTTTGCCACTGAAAGGGATCTTAATGCTGATCACTTCCCCTCGGAGGGCATGAACTGCTCCCATGCCTTCAAGAGTTTTAGGCAAGTGTATCTTAGCTGGAACTGTATCAGAGTAAAAGAACAAAGAATATGATTTAGCAAGACTCAGTAATATCTATGCCCCCCACCACAAATTATTGATGAGTCATCTAACACTAAACTGATGATTTCTGATTTGTTTTTACCTTCGACTTCCAAGGAGGCGGTACCAGACACAGATCCCCCTTGGTTGGTAGCTCTGACTTGGTAAACAGTGGCATCGTCATCTGTGACACTTGCAATGATAAGCTGGTGGTAGCCACCCTTAAATTCTTGAATTCTGTACTTTAGTCCATCTGCGATGATTTCTTTGCCTTGTCTGTACCATTTCACGATAGGTTTTGGATGACCAGTCACTTTGCAGACCAACGTGGCGTTGCTCTGATACCTCACATTCAGATTTCTCAGTTCCTCCTTGAAGTGTGGAGCTTGAATTGGGACATCAGATTTGGGAGTGACAGGTTCTGATACTTCACTCCATTCACTTTCCCCACCTAGGTTTTCACATTTCACACGGAACTCATATTCAAGACCTTCAATAAGGTTTTGCACTGAAAAGACGGTTTCTCGAATTTCTTCTGTTGTCACAGTAATCCATTTATTTTGTTTCTTTTCACGCTTTTCAAGGTAGTAATTTCTGATCTTTGCACCTCCATCACTGGCAGGTGGCTTCCAAGCCACAACACAAGAATCTTTTGTGATCGCAGTGATAGCTGGTTTACCAGGAGCACTTGGTTTTTCTATTTAAAGAAAATGAAAAGATTTGAGTCATGATGGAAACAGCTTCTAAAAAAGCTTACTTTAAATAAAAACTGAATGATCCCAAAGTTCTATGAAAAGTAGCTATAAAGAAGAGGATGCCCCTTTTGAAGATAGGCAAACATTAAAATGAGAGACTAAGCATTGCACTTGATCTGAATCTGCTGTTTCCTTTCAAAATTTATTACTGGTTAAAAGAATTTAATGTAAAGATAGAATTTTACCATATGAGATAAGAGCTAGAAGAGACAGGAATCAGGTTGTTCTTACCAAATGGACTTTTAATGATCACAACAGAGGAAACCTCTAGTGGCTCACTGATGCCAAAGGTGTTCTGAGCTGACACCCGGAAATAATAGCCGGCATTTTCTGTGAGGTTCACAATTCTGCAGGTTGTCACTGAGATGGCTGAAGACACCAATTGCCATTCAGCACCTTCCTTGGCCTCACATTTCTCTACCACGTAGTTGGTGATCCAGGAGCCACCATCATCAGCAGGTGGTTTCCAGCTGATCACCACAGAGTTCTTCAATAAGGCTTCAATCACAATTGGTCCTGTAGGTTTGTCTGGTTTATCTGTTGAGAGAAATTACAATTGTAGTGGTTTTCACAGTGTGTTTCCTGAGATCTTTAAAAGAAAAATCACTGAGAGCAAAAGTGAAATACCTTGTATTTCCACATCAAGGATGGCATCAACTGTTCCAAAGGCATTGCTGAGCTGAACCTTGTATTTTCCAGCATGAGTCTTACGTTGGACATTCTTCATGACAAGATGAGTATAGTGCTCAGTGTTTTCAATAGTGATGTTTTCTGAGTTTTGCAAAAGTTTCTGGTCGTGGAACCAAGTCATGGCAGGTACCGGACGACCAATATACATAACATGAAGTCGAAGTGTAGAGCCCACAGCACCATAATATTTCTCTTTCAGTGGGTAACCAGGATGGAACTGTGGTGCTGCTTGCAAAAGAAGCTTGCTACTGGTTTCTACTTCTCCAACTTCATTGGTAGCTACACATGTGTAAACACCTTCATCTTCTTGTTCATCTGTCATTACTGTTAGCATATGTGTACGTCCATCTGAAGACATTTTGTACTTCCGGCTTTGTATAAGCTCTTTACCAAATCGGTACCATTTAATGTCAGGAAGCGGCCTTCCAACAATCTGGCATGAGAGTTGAGCGGCTTCACCTAATTTGGTGGTCACATCAGCCATTTCTTTGCGTAGTCCTGGGGCTTCTCCAGCTGAAGGTGATGAAAGATAATGAAAAATGCAAGTGTATTATGACTACTAAATTTATCATCTCTCAGTGTATATTAGGAATGGACTTATCCTACTGAATAACACTTTATTAGATACTACTATGATTTATATCTAAGACTCCCTGAACTTGTTTTCCTAGGGTCATGTGGAAAATGGTGATTAATTGGGCACATTGTCATATTATGTAGAATGACTTTTCTCTTTACAGTTGGGAGGGCAGTAACAATGTAATATGAGATTTGGAGGAAATATGCATTCTCTCTATAAACAGATAGTATTCTTGTCTTTACATAGGGACACTGAAATACTTGTTAACTTTCCAACTCTTGTTAGAAGAGAACCAAAACCTATTGCAGAGGGGGCAATTGTTCCAAGAATATGCTTAGTTCATTGCATCCAACATCTCCTGCTGGCTACAATTTCTGATAGAACTTAACAGTTATTTTATGTGTACACATGTGAAAGTGATTGGTTTCTCTCCATTCTCTAATAAAGCTTTCCAGAATTCTACTTAGTGTGCAAGAAGAATTAGTTTTAACAAGCTGTTTAGTTTGTAATTTATAACAGAGAACCACAGGCTACTTACATGTGAGCTTAGTCTTCACAGACATAGCTGTTCTTCGAGGTCTGCTAAGCCCAGTCTCATTCTCAGCAAAAACTCTGAATTCATACTCAGTAGCTTCTAGCAAACCTCCGATGGTGAATTGCCTGTCCTTGATCCGCTCTTTATTGCTCTTCTTCCAAGCACTGTCTCCCGACTGTCTGTATTCAACCCAGTAGCCAAGGATTTCTTTGCCACCATCACATTCAGGTTTCTCCCACTGAAGGGTGACACTGTCTTTAGATATTGAAAGAATCTCAAGTTCTCCTGGTTGGCTTGGCTTATCTGAAATAGTTTAAGATCATTGAGAAAAGAATCAGATAGATACTGGCAGAATAAGAGAAAAAGACAAAAGATGGCTTGCTTTGATTTTTATCCCCTTTGGAAACTCTTCCCTTACCAAATGGATCTTTGCAAACAACTGGTTCAGAAGCAGGGCTGGTCTCACTGAGGCCAACGTCATTCTGTGCAATGATACGGAACTGATATTCAGCATCAGGAACAAGCCCAGTGACCGTATACATTGTGGTGGTTATCTGAGTCTTATTGTGTCGGACCCACTTGTCAGTTGATGTCTCCTTGCGTTCAATGTAATAGCCTGTGACTCGAGAGCCGCCATCATCTTTGGGTCGAGACCAGGACAAGCTAACAGAACTCTTGGTCACATCGAGTACTTCTGGAGGATTGCTTGGAGGTTCTGGTGGATCTATAAATACAAGTGGAAAATATACATGTATCAGAGTGCAATCTCAAATCTGGTAAGCTGGTAGTTTTCATTTAAAAATATAAGCATATGAAGCAATTTTTATCATTTTGTGGTTGAGAAAGCACTTACTCAGTGGTGTTTTTGGTATTACAGGCTCCTCAGATTTCAAGGGCTTGCTTATGCCAAACTGGTTTTCTGCTGAGACTCGGAAATGATATTCCACATTTTCTTTGAGGCCTTTTACCACCAGCGATGTACCTCGGACTCTGGAATCGATGGTGTACCAAGCAGCTTTAGGAACTTCTCTTCTCTCAAGGATATAGCCCAAGATATCAGCACCACCATCATCGGCAGGAGGCCTCCAACTGACTCTTACAGAACGGGCTTGTATGTCATCATACTCAAGTGGTCCTTCTGGAGTATTGGGACTTCCTATCACTTTGACCTTGATGTAAACAGTCTTCTTGCCACATTTGTTTTCCAGAACCAAGTCATAAGTTCCAGAATCATCTCTGTCTGCTTCTTTGATCACAAGCTCAGTGTGGGTTTCAGATGTTGCAATCATGGCACGTTTACTAATATCCTGGCCGTCCTTGGTCCATTTACATACTGGGAATGGTTTTCCTTTGATTGGTATGGTAAGTCTGATGACTCCACCTTGTCGTACAAAGACACCTTCCTGGTATCTTTCATCAAGTTCATAGTCAGGATATTCTGAGGAAAAAGGTACGGTTGCAATTTAGTTTTTTTTTGATATTTGGGGAAATACCAAAAGAGTCAAAAGGCAATTACAATAGAAACTAAAGGATTGTGTTTCTTACCAAGCATTTCTGTCACTTTGACTGTTCCTGGTACCTCAGCAGGCTCCCCAGGTCCACCAGCATTACAAGCTAAGACACGGAATCTGTATTCAGCACCCTGAGGTAGATGTGTGAGAGTATATTCCCGAATCTTGGTTGGAGTGGTATTACATTTGGTCCATTCATGTTGATCTACCTTTTGCATTTCAATCAAATAGCCTGTGACTTTAGATCCTCCTTCATCTTCTGGAACACTCCAGGCCAGGGAGACTGATGTCCTTGTAGTATCTGTAACTCTTGGATTTTGTGGTTTTCCTGGTGGAGCTGGGAAGAAAAAAGGCAAAAGGTTTACAGTTTATAGTTGCTGCAAAGTTATAAATAAATTGTGCCATCTTACAAATTCAGTGCGTTATTGAAATATTGACTGATGGTATTAAACTTATCTTTTTTGCTTTCCACATTTTTGTATACTATATTTTATAGTTTGATTGTGATAATGATTTCAAAACATTATCTTTTAGAACTCACAGAATTATATACTTCAGAAGGATGAGATTTTCCACTTAAAACTATATCTCAATAAACTTGGCTTATACTAAATATATTTACCAATTGGATCCATGGCCACGATGGGTTTGGAAGGACGACCTGGCTTTCCAGTGCCTCTTGCATTAATGGCTGTGACACGGTGTTCATATTCTAAGCCTTCAATAAGGCCGGTGGAGCGGTACCGTGTCATTGTCACTGGTACTTTATTTACACGGACCCATCGATCTGCTCTTACTTCTTTGCGTTCCACAATATATCCAGTCACTTGGGAGCCACCATCATCTTCAGGTGGATACCAAGTAAGTGTCATACCATCACGGGAGACATCAAATATCTGTAGTGTTTCTGGAGGTCCAGGAATACCTGTAACAAGACAGGGATGAATACAACATGGTGACACGAATAAAGACTCATGTCTGTGTGTATCCTAGTTTTCAGGTGCTATTTTAAATGGAGTGAAAACACTTGTGGGTGTGTTCTCAGTGCTTTTTCTATTTACTCTGTATCTTATTTTCTTCAATTTTATAAACATGTATTAAGGACATACTTTGTACTTTCTTTTATTCTGTCACTGTCCCTCTCGCATCTTCCTTCTCTTCTTTTTTCCTTCTTTCCTTCCATCCTCCTATGCTTTTTACCCAAGTCCCTTTTTCTTTCTTTGACCCAAGTGGAAAAATTAAAACAAACAAACAAACAACAACAACAAAAAACAACACAACTGTTGAAAACTTCAAGGAAGACTGTGTTTAGAAACCTTAGAAGAACTCTGACGTTTTTTACAGGCTATTTTTCTTTACATCAGGGTATACTGAAACAAATTCAGAATCAGATGTAGGGGCAATGGAAGAAGGGTCCACAGACTTACTGATGCTGCTACGGCATTCTATGACCTCAGACTGCAAGTAAGAGCCAATCCCGAAGCGGTTTGTCGCAGCCACACGGAACACATATTCATTTCCTTCAGTGAGTCTGGTAAATTTAAATGTTGGTCTAGTCACTGATTCAGAAACTGGCAGCCATCCTGGGCGATGCGCATCACGTTGTTCTACCACATAACCACTCAGTGGAGCACCACCGTCCAATTCAGGTGGTTCCCAGGAAATGGTAACTGATGTAGCATCGATTTCATCAATCTTTATAGGTCCAGTTGGTGGCCCAGGCTTGTCTGTGAAAGATAAAGAAATTCAGGAAATGAATTTTTATTTCAAATAAAAACTGAGGGATTAAATTCCAATGATTTAATTGTATCGTTGTTACACATTCTTACCAAGAATGATAACTTTAATGGTCTCTGAAGTCGTTCCGGTAACATTCTTCAATTCAAGTGTATATTCTCCAGTATCTCTTATAGTGGTTTCACGGATGGTTAACTTAGTTACTTTAGTGTGAGTTTCAACAGTCACACGCTCTGATTCTCTCAGTTTAGAACCAGCAAAGAACCAGGAAGCAGTAGGAGGTGGACGGCCAGCGATAGGTATCACCAGCTCTATTGGTCTGCCGGCTGGGACATGGATGGTCTTTTGAGGCATTGTAGAAAGATCAATTGTGGGCAACACTATGAGAAAGAAATTAGATGTTTATTTTTAAATAGGATTTCTAATGAAGAAGTGCCATGCATTTTTAAAATTTTCATTTTACTTCATTGTTACCTGAATATTCAGTACCTACCTCTGAGGTCTTGTACAGTCACAGCTGTGACGATCTCTCTTGGTTCTGACACACCTTTCTCATTTTGTGCCCTTACTCTAAACAAGTACTGTTCACCTTCATTTAAGGAAATAACAGTGTGCTCTAAGACGGTGGGTTTCAAAGTGACAACTTTCATCCATCTCTCTGTCCCAGCTTTGCAGGCCTCAAGAATATATCCAGTGAGTCGGCTACCACCATCATAGAGTGGTTTTTCCCAGGCAAGTGTGACAGTGGATTTGGTGACATCAACCACTTCTAGTTTTGTAGGCACCAAAGGCACTTCTGAGACCAGAACTGCATCCGATGTTTCACGGGGCTCTCCAATGCCGTAGATGTTTTCTGGCAGGACTCTGAAGTAGTACATGGTTCCTTCTACAAGGCCAGATATTCGGTAAAGGGTCTTGCTGCATTTGGTGGTTACTGTTTTGAATGCTCGCATGGCGGCTTCACGCTTCTCGATAATGTAGTTGTTTACTGGCGCTCCGCCATCAATTGTAGGAATTTCCCAAGTGATAGTCACAGAATCTCTCGATACTTCCTTAATACTCACTGAAGGACAAGGACCAGGAGTATCTAAAAAACAGAAGGAAAGAAAGTTCATACTCCTCTTGCCTGATTGATAGATTTTTTTTTCCCAGAAAACATAATCAGTATAGGTCTCCCTTAGTGAGGTGATCAATTTAGGTCAAAACGTACCCATGGGTATGTATCTACTCACAGCTTAGTCAGTTTTAAGAAAACCACTTACCATATACTTTAACAAGGACCGTTGCTGACTTCTTGCCAGATTGATTTTCAGCTTCAATTGTGTATTTTCCAGCATCATACCGATTAACTTTGTCCACAATGAGCAAAGAGTAGCTCTCAGTGTTATCGATAATTGCCCGGTTTGTAAGGTCAATGCCCTTCTTGCTCCAGGTGATGACAGGAGATGGTCTTCCAGACACAGACACCATCAGGCGCAGGGAAGCCCCAGCCCTGACAGTCACGGTCTTCTTTAGATCGTCAGCAAGCTCAAGATCTGGTATTTCTGGGAAGTAAATATCAAAGTTTAATTCATGAACAGATGGTATGAGAAAACAATTCATCTAAAAGTTTTCATCTTAAATACCTAGTCGTTCGACAGGCTCAATTTCAGCAGTGGTTTCGCTGTATTCACTTATGCCCTTCACGTTGACAGCCGCAACTCTGAAGGAGTATTTCTGGCCCGTTTTAAGGTCTGGCACAGTAAATTCAGTATTTCTTATTGTGGCATTACTATGCACTTGGTACCATTGATCAGCGTCTTTCTCTTGCATTTCAAGGACATATCCTATGATGTCAGTGCCACCATCATACATGGGCTTGGTCCATGCCAAGCTAATACTGCGCTTGGTGGTATCCACAACTCTTGGAGCAGAAGGTGGTCCAGGGGTATCTGTGTAATTAAAAGTGAGAAATAGATATTGTACAAATAAACTTTGAGAACTGTAGTTTTCATATTCACAGAGGCATTCAAGACCCAAGAAGACCCATCTTTGTAACTAGGTTTTGTTTGACACACTAGGTCAGCACTTACACTGTATTATCACTATTATTATTTTAAGACCTAGACTGTCTTAGGGATGCAGGCATTTCTTTCTTTTACTTTGGCTAGCCATGGCACATTCTCCTTTACTGAGTTCCTTGCTTAGCCCATTCTCAGGGACTTTTCTTTAGATGCTCATCTTTCTCTGAGTTACTATTACATGTCATCTCTATTGTAATAAATGCAGGAACCAGGTCATCATCATCTTTCCCTCTTTAGCGCCAGTGACTTATTCCTTTCAACTCTTTAACTTTATAAAAGGATTTGTCTGCTCATTTTGAAGGTCATATAATAATTATTTTGTTAGTAACGTTAAAATATTAGGAACTTTATGCCTTGGCTCGCCTCTCTAAAGGGATTTGGCTATTTTTCTTTTCAATGGTTATTATCAGTGCAACTTATTTTTATATTCTAGGAATATTTACAAATATAGCCTTCATATTGGCAGTAGAATGATTTATTTCTGGTTTTTCATAAATCAGAAAAATACTGAGCACTTTTCAGCATTACTAACTTTTACCATAGTAGTAGTTAGAATGCTCTTTGAGTTAGGCTATATTTAGGAGAACATTCATAAGTATAGGCTTTATTAGACATAAGATTTTTATAAATTCTACGAGTTCTTAGAAATATGTTGGAAAATTTTCATGGTTTTTATTGGCATTGAGATAATGTCTGATTCTCAGAACTCACATGATGGCTCTCTGCATGAGATGAAGTTGGAAGCTTCACTGGGTTCACTGTTACCAGCAGCATTCACTGCGGTCACCCGGAACTGGTAATCACAGCCCTCCATCAGGCTGGTCACCTTCAGCCTGGTATCATAGACCACGTAGTCTTTGTTGACACGTGTCCAGCGCAAGCTCTTCTTCTCACGCTTGTCTACTAGGTAGTTGCTGATTTCATTGCCACCGTCAGATTCAGGTTTTGTCCACTGAATGATGATGTGCTCTTTGCCAGCCCCAACTTCTTCAGGTATGCCAGGTTGTGATGGAATCGCTGTTTGTATTTAAAGCATATAAGAATGATCAGAATTGCACAAAATCACTGTTAGCATGACTGCTCTTTTTACTTGATCCCTGACATTTCAGTCATCAAATTGTTTATTTTTACTTAATTAATTTATTGATTGATTTTTTTGTGTATTTCATACAGAACATCCCAAACAATCTTATTCATCTTTATACCCGCATCCCAAACGGCACCCTCCATAGCCCCCCACCCCGAGCCCATATACTCTGTCATCCCTGTTACTGTACATTGTGCATTGTGTGGTCATTTTTTATACAATAATATTACTTAAAATATAGAGAATAGGCAGGTAAATAGAAGCAGGATTTCTAAACTTAACTGAAGTTATTAAAATATAAACTAAAAGACTATGTAAGTTACTGTGTATAGTATAAACCTTAAACTAACCACTAAAAGTATACTAAGAAACATTTCAAATCACTATAGAGGAATCAAAAGTGGGTTCTGAGCAACATAATATAATCCACATGAAAGTTAAAAAATGCTGGGTGTGGTGGCACACACCTTTAATTCCAGAACTCAGGAGACAAAGGCAGGGGGATCTCTGTGC